AAACATAGTATCAATAAAATAAAACCAATAAGAAGGAAAAAAAAAGCAGGTACACAACTAGCATAGAGCCACACCCACAACCGATACAGGAACAAATTGCGATTGAACCCCTAAGCCATCGCAAACATGCGTAAGCTTGGCAATTGATAATAGTTAATATTAATTAATTTTCGAATTATAATGACTTTATAAGGTTAAGAGCTAGTTTAAGTACGACATAGGTAAACTACGCGCATTAAACAATGTTGCTTTAATGGATTTTAAAGAGTTCGATAACGAGAGTAGGTGATAAACATCATTTAGGTTCTTGCAAACTACTCTGAGCGGATTAAACAGCTCATAATTATATATACACTGACTAAGCTTAACCAAGGTAAATTGCCTAGAGAAGCGGTTGGGGACATTAAAGCTTATATCACCAAGTAATGCACGCGAGTCAATAGCACCATTTATTACTTTGATTACATAGGAAACGCCAAGAGTAAATCTATGTTTCTCAAGAGATGGTAAGGACAATAGAAGCAACCTATTTTCATAAAAGAGAAGAGAGCCAATCGGATCCCAACCCAAATTCCTAAGAACAAACAGCAAGAATTGCTTTTGAACAAATTCAATTGAACCTATATGAAGGAGACCACAGAACAGAGGCATACTCAAGTATAGGTCTAATCAATCACATATACAGCCTATTAGTAATGTAGGGATCGTCAAGCTCTTTGGACCACCTTTTTATAAAACCAAGCGCGGACCTAGCTTTGCTTATCGAGAACTCAATTTTCGAGTTGAGACATAACCTATGGTCAAATAGAACGCTTAAATCTGTGATCGAATCGACGTCCTCCAACTTATGCGAATCTATGAAATACTGAGTAATGAATGACTCTCTTCTTGAGAAAGACAGCTTCTTACATTTATTCAGATTTAGTTTCAGAAGATTCACAGAGAACCATGAAACAAAATTATCCAAGTCAGCTTGAAGCTGATGTGATTGCGATTCAACAGAGAAGGAGGAAAACAGTTTCACTTCATCCGTATACATTAAGATCTGGCTGGAATTAACCACCGATGGAAGATCGTTAATGTATAAACTAAATAAAATGGGACCTAAGTGACTTTCTTGAGGTACGCCAGATATACCGGGGAATTCATCCGAGGTGATAAAGTTGAACAAAATCCTGAAGGAGCTATTGTGCAGATAAAAGTTTATCCATTTCACTAAACATAAAGGGAACACAGAGGCTTGGAGTTTAAAGATGAGTAGTTTATAGTTAACCAAATCAAATGCTTTGCTTAAATCAGCGTTTATTACCTCAGTGCGAGAGCCAGTAGAAAAAGCATTGAAAACATGACAAGTAAACTCTAACAAGTTGATGACCGTAGATCTTCCTTTCCGAAAACCGTGCTGATGTGGAGAAATATACGAATTAATGGGAAAGACCAAAAGCTGAGTCACAATTCGCTCGAAAGCTTACGCAAGACACTCAACTTGGCTAAGTCCCTGTACCTCTCAACGAGTCGTCTACTTTCAATTTTGTGAATAGGAATAAAGAAAGTAATCTTCTAACACAAAGAGAAAACATCTAAATTCAAGGACTGGTTAAAAATCTTTGAGATAACGGCACATAACTCGACAGCGCAAGATTTAAGTACACATAATGGAACTCCATCAAGTCCAGGCGCACAACCATATTTTAGAGAGCTCAACCCTTTAAAATCATCATCTTCAGAAATAACCAAATTAGGAATTGAAACCAAGTTAGTTATAGGATATGGGTAGTTTGCTGATAAATCGGAATTAGTTGTCGAAAAGTTTCGTCAGAAGTACTCAGATTTGAGAATTCAAAATCATCCGAGGAATCAGCGTATTTAGAAAAGACTTTTCAGCTTAATTATCTTTGTGGGACTTTAAACGCCGAAGATATATTGAAATTTGTAACTGGAGTAACTACGAAATCTTTATCAACTAGGCCTTTTATCTTCTTAATATTAATTTTTAACAGAGTTAAGATTGGGTCACTTTTCAACCCAATAGAAACGTACGGAAATGCTGAAAAATCTGCGCATACTACGTTTACGTTATAAAAGTGTCCTTTTCCTTCACTACTTTTGAATGGTAATAACATCCCTATCCACAACATGCAAAATATCTTGATGTACATATGGACCAACATGAAAAAATCATGTTAAAGCTAAACGCCAGCAACCAGACTTAAAAACAGAAGGCTCGATTGGCTAATACGTCTAGAATATCAGCTTAATCTAAGAAGAGAATGCATTTTGCACAAGAATATTCTCCAACCTATTTGGACTTTTGGCGTCCAATTGTGAGAAAAAGCCAATAACTCTAATATGGAAATAATCCAAAAATGTCATTGTAAAACCTTCTGTCTCATTGTTAATGCCCTCTGGTTCGTTAGCAACAAAACTTTCGGTGATGACCTGGTCTCTCGTCAATAATCTAATTCAATATATTTCCTCAAAATACCTTGTTAGATGGAGAAGTCACGTAAATTCCCTGGCAATGACTCTTCAGGATGACTTCACCGGCATAAGAAGATTGAAGAGAATTTATATACTGGATCTTGCAATTAGACATTCATTTCACTCTCTTCCTTAAGTTATTTTAATGAATTTTCCAGGTTTATCTCTCTCTTTTATTTCTTTTCATTTATTCATTCATCATATTTATATTACTTTGTGAACCCTAAAGCGGGCAATAACCTCACTTATTTTTAACATCTTGATATAACATTTACTTTTGGATAGATTGTAAATTATAATTTTAAGAAAACATTTCCTAGGGCCGTACTGAATGCTTTAGAAAACATTTTCGGTTATGCGACGGATATAACGGTTAATGATGGTTTCATCTAGACCATTTTTAGAGACCGTGAGTTTTGTAGTTTTCATAAAACATTTCCAAATTTTCTCATCCTATTGTTGTGTTGTGCGTTTATATAAAACTATATCATTAAATGTGATGTATTCACATTAATATGTCATAAATTTAATTTTTACACACCTTTTTTATTGATATTACTATTACAAAGGTAAACGTCTATTACTTTTAATATTATTTTATGTGCAAAGCATAAGATTTGCCATCTCATGTCAATATACCTGCAACATCGCAATATCCACGAAGCCTTAGTTACACTCTCCGCGAACCGTTGTATTGAAAACCACAAGTAAAAACTTAAATCCTGCGCGCCACTTCAGTCATTTATTTTCACGTTACATGTCTATTCCACGAATCCAAATTGAATTACATTTCTTTTATTTTTATAATGTGGCGATTATTGCCCTGAATGTTAAATCATAAGTGTACACTCCATATTTATCATTTGTTTGTGATACCATTTTCTTTTTGAAATGTGGCGATAGTTCCAATCTCTTTAATTTGGAGTTTGTTGAGTCCGGAAACGAGGTCGAAGGTTTCCTCTTTGTGAGAAATTATAGTCCGTCTTTGTATTGTCTGTGTTAGTGGAGAATGTAGTTCACGAATACTTTTAGTTCATCTGAAATTTGACTCTAGTCTGTTTTTACATTCTACAACACTTGCGATACTGGGTGTAATAAGTTTGTGCGGTGCTACGTAATACGCAGAATGGTTGATGTCTGTCCATGATTTTTGCGTTTAACCTACAGATCGCAATTTTAGAAATATTTTGATGGAATTAGTTACACTCGCGTGCTTTGACACAAGTGTGAACGCTATTGAAAATGGTTCGGATCTGACTACTTTCATGATAGTAAATTGACGTAAAAATTAAGTCAGTCGCATTTAAAACACATGGGTCTATTTCTGGGACCCTACTCCTTATAAGAATTCTGATGAAGATAATGGCGCCCAAAAAATATTAATTTTTGGTATAACATAAAAAGCGACTGTGTAATATAAGTGTGTGTTTTGCTCAATGCAACTGGTTTGCGATAATCCTTGTTCACCAAGCCATTTACAAAGTCACACGTGCAGAAACAGATTAAGGCAAATGCAGCTAGAATTGACTAAATTGGCTAAGCCTTCATTAAATATTCACTTAGTGCATTTAGTGTTGTGAATTCAGTTGTTGTTTGACACTGATTTTTAAAAAGAAAAAAAGTTTTCTTAATAGTGCTAAACCAACACATGAAATGTTATATGCATGTGCATAAAACTCTCATTAAAATTATGTTAAAAGCACATTCGTTTTTTTAATTAAAAAAATAAATAATAAAAATGTACTATAAAATATTATTGTAAAGATCAGCTTAAAAGATTAAAGATTTAGCAAGTAGATGTATTCTAAAGGAAATATACTAAAGTTAACCTATAATATCTGCGCAAATTTGTGTTGAGGTACACCAAAAAAAAAAAAATTAATAAGAAAAAAAACAAGAAAACTTTTACATGAGTTTATTTAGAAACTCATGTTAAAAGAGGTTAAGAATATATCTTGAAAAACATATTAATTTATTATCTGTTTGTTGAATTTTTCGGGAAAATTTATGTCAACTGTATGGTGGAACTTATCAAAGGAATTATGAAAAAAGATTTAAAAAAACGGAAATGTAAATTTTTTTACAATATGGAGCTTCTTCAGATAGATCACTCCATAGTATCTCTACGACTTTAAAAGGGTACATAATTCTCTCTGGCGTGCTAAGAATGTGGTTGTAGTTTCGTCTACAATTATAGTTTGCAGGCAGCTATTTTTGGTCTGTTTTCCTGTTTGTTTCCAAAAGTTCTTTTACCTTTTTGTAGTTTCCTAATAATTTACATGTATCTGTATTTTCCGTACACTTCTATTTTTTATTTAATTTAATTTGTCTTTTACAGTTTCTTTTCTTCGTTGCTTTGTTGTTTTGCATTAGTTATTCATGTTCCTGTAATTATTATGATTTCATCTATTCTTTCCATAAAATATTTTTTAAAAAAATTTTGGTTTTTATATGTATACATTTCTCTGTTTCATTATCTTTAAAAATTATTGTTTATCACTTTTTTGTCCACATAAATTGTAAAATAACGCTTTACTCTATGTATCAGGTACATTATGCTTTCCATAATTATAGTTATGCGCTCGCTTTGTGGTTGTGTTATTTTCTGATGCTTATCAATTTTCCAAATTTGTCCCTTATTTTTTGGTTCTAATTGGTTATTACGACTAAATAAAGCTAAAATAGTTGTAAATAGTCGTCCATTATTAAATTAGCTATTATTTATATATTTCGAATTCTTATTGAGCTTTGATATAAATTTGTCTTCTGCTATCAACACTTGGCGCTCTTTCGCGTATTTTCTTCTGTGTTTTCTTTTTTCTTTTTTAAGGCTAATGTTTGTTTGGGTTTCAAGTCCTCCAGGTTGGCAATATTTGATGTCGTCAAAATCTGTTGGATCTCCAATCCTTTAAACAAATTTTTCTGTGAAATTACAGGTACGAAGATCTTTTACTCTTGACTGTACTTTTTCATTATTGTCTTATTTCCTGCGTTTTGCTTGATTTGTTGTTTTTTAAACATATCCGTTTTTGATTTTCTTTTACTCGCAACTTAAAAAATATATTGCTGCTCTCCCATTTACAGTATTTGAATTGTTCGTATTTTGGTCGCTATTTTAAGTTAACGCTCTAAATACTTGATAAATTTCTCTTGAATGTTAGTTTCCATTATCTCGCGCCGAAAGTGGCTCGGAATCCGTTAGCGTCATCACCTTCTGGCTTTGTGAACGGTACTACCATGCTAAATGGACCGGTATTACTGGCCGGGGTGCAAACGCAGACTGAAATCCAACGATGGGACTGCGTCGGTTTTATCCCCTCTATAGGAAACGTGACATAGACTTTTGTAAGCTTTTTATAGGTTCAAAGAAGGATTTTTTGGAATTGGATAAACAATTCATGGCATTGTCTGGAAAATTTGAAAAAATTAAAATGATATTCGATGAGTGTCGCTACTTACAGCAGTTGCCTTCTCCTTTTGGATTTCCAATATATTTTCGTGTACATACGCCCTCCGTTTATCTTTCTACTTCTTTCACCCTTTCCTGAGGCCTCATTATCTGAAATGATGATAAGCTTGTTATGCAATAAAAAAAGTTTATATGTGCGTATTATATTATCGAGTTTCTGTCACCAAAAATTTTTATTTTGTGTGTTGTAGAAAATATCTCCCCGTAGGTAATATAACATGTGGTTGTATCTTGTAATATTTCTTACAAATACGACCCTGCAGTGGACGAGATTGGTAATCTCACTGGTTAAGAAATCATTGAGAGAATAAATAATAGAAGAACGGCTTTCAAGGCGAGTCATTCGTTCATTTATTTAGTGTACCCATACATAAACAACACACGTATAGACTTTTTGTAATGTAAGGATCCATAAGTTCTTTGGACAATCACTTAATTAAAGCTAGTATGGACTTAGCTTTACTTAGAGAGAGCTCAATGTCCAAACTAAAGCGCAATGTTTTATCAAATAGAACCTTTAAATCGATGACCGAATCCACGTTTTTCAACTGGTGTGAATCAATGAAATACTCAGCATTGATTGACTTCCTCCTTGAGAAAGAAAGCTTCTTCCATATCTTTATAGTTGCTTTCATAAAAAGGAATATAAATATAAAAATATATGAAAGTTATTTTTTTGTGTGAGAGAAAAGTAGAGAAAGGTCGTGGTACCCAGCTTTGAGATCTTCCCCAAATCAATGCCCGAAGGTGTTAATAGCTAAGGCAGTGTGCAGATTGGCCCAGAGCATAATATCTGACCCCTTGGTCCGCTAGTCCGTATCTTTTTATAAGGGTGAAGCACGTGCGTTTCTTTTAGTTGTAATCGTCTGTGGAATGTACGTGGGACAAAAGTTTGAGAACCCCCAACTCTCCCAAACTAGATAACTCAGCAATGATACGAGCGTCCGTCTCCACAGCCTCAAGTGGCATTTAAGAGAAGCCCTAAGAGTAATCTATTCCGTACTTCTACATTCGGACAAACAGAGAAGATTTACTGAAATCATACTGTTACAGTAATTAATTAAGGCATATTCTAAAGAATAACTATGTTCGTACTTTTGCTACTACTTGAAAATATTACGTGGAAGAGAGTTTTCGAATGAAGACTGCGGGAAAATTGAAGGAATGATACTGTAAGGAAGCGTTTTGCTTCCTTACTGATAACAAGTGCGTTCGCACAATTGTCTACCCTTATGTGTTTTGTTGATAATCAGTAAGAAAAAAAGAGAGGGAGAGAGTAGAAAGTGTACCCAGCTAGGAAAGGTATATAAATGTATGAAGCGTATACAAATGTATAAACGGTACAAAAGGTGTAAAAGTAGATATAGTAGATCCTATAAACAATATGCATGAATTTTTCTCTAAAGAAACATTGTAAAGTCATAGCGAGACTAGCATTGACACACCTAACGGTTACCAAATCATACGATTCGGTACCTGGGTTAGCGTTTTACAGAATCATGGCGATTAACAATGACAATAAAACAGACGTAAAAATACGCATATAAGCAATAGGCAATAGCGAAAAGAGTTTATAAAATTACGCATGGTACGTATCATATGAAAGCATACTTAACGGTTCTGCGGCTTATAAAATCATACGATTTGTTACCTAAGCCAGTATTGGCAGTAAGATCATATGAGTTGGTTCTTAATTAACAATAAAATATACATAATTATATTATGCAGGCAAACATGTTCGATCAGACCTAAGTTAGCACACGTAAGGATAGATATGTAAGAATAGCATTGTAATACATGGGCAAGTCAAAGCAATCAAAGCAACTTGTAATGGGATAGCGATGGTGATCGCGACTATAAAAGAGCGTGTCGCACCACGCTCAGTCTGTCAGTTATGTGGTAGCAGCCAAAAGGTAAGTGATCACGGACATAACTAGTTGACTTTTGCTGAAAGGTTTTTTTCGGACTCTACGGATAGGGGATGGCAGGATTAGCTTACCCGCCATCCCTGAACAACTGATGGACATCCTCTCCTGAGACGTGAAACGGATTAGGGACGGACGGGTGGCCCTACAGGTCGAGGTTGGCTGCTACGACACTCCCGACGTATTCTTTTTTACAGAAACCCGCGATACGAAAAGCGAGAAGTAAATATAATAATAATCGTTCGGAACAGATAAGAAATATTAGAACGGTAAAGAATAGTCGGGTCACCACGCTGTCTTTCTCCTACGCCTCTTAAAATCGCTGATCATTGTAATCTCCTAAAAAATAAATAAATAGAAAGACAAGAACGAAACCGAAGGTCGAAGTTATATTTATACTATAAATTTTTTTGGAAAGAGTCCTGGATTGGCTGAGTATACCCCGCCCAAGTTTCTAGTATAAAAGTTAAATTAAGTTCTTGCGTATATTTTGATCATTTTTTCACTTGAAAATGGAATTTATTGCGCAAAATTGGTATAACATATTAGGTCATATCGACACGCAGTTTTTCCCAGGGATAGTGTTCAAACGAATATTACTTTAAAACGTAGCATTTCAGCTTACATTTTTTGTGAAGATAGTTTTGCTCGTGTTAAACGTTATATTGATTTGAAAATGAGTGAAATATCTGAACAAATACGCTACGTAATGCTATTTTACTACAAAAAAAGTAAAAACGCTGTAAAAAAATTTTTTCTTTGTACAGCGTATGGTGACAATACTGTGAGTGAACGAAGGACCCAGGAGTACTTTGCTCGATTCGGTCGCGTAAATTTCGATCTCAAAAATGTACGTCGCAGTCACTGAAAAAGTCGATGAAATTTTGCAACTGGCGGAGCAAAACCGGCACGCCAGTTGTAGGAAATACCACATACATCAACCATATGATAATCTTAAATCATTTAAAAAGATAGGGCTACCAGAAAAAGCTCGAAACCACCGAAAAATCCACGGAGACGTTTCGATATGACCCATTATATCAATCGAAATATTTTGCGTCAATTTGCACAACTTTTTCCCCTTCTTCTGGCGACATGGTGATACCGTTTCGACGGAATGATTTTGGTTTGGCAGCAATCAAATCATCGAATTATTTTCTCACTTCGTCCGAATTCTTAACACACTACACTACTACTGCATCAATATGGACCGCTCTCCTGGAAAGCAAGTTTACGGTTGGGATTGTCGTACTAAACCCACTATTCAGCGCCAGTCATAATACGCCACAGTAAACTCTTCTTCTTACCTGGCAAGCGATGTTGAAACGTTTTGGAATGACATTTTCAGTCAATTTATGTGGTAGTCATTTTCCCTCCTTTTGGATCCTTTCCGCCGCTTGTAAACGTCTACAAATAGTTGATTGATCAATTGCTAAGCCGTTCGAACGGTTTTTGACAGTTTAGTTTAATTTTTGTCCAAGTTGTCCTTTGTCATTGACGTCAAAATCACTAGCTTCAAATTATTAAAACCAAAACTGACGATTGGAGTATGATGGAACACCATCTCCATAAGCTTCTAAAAGTGTTAACTCGGCTTCGGCAGCAGCTTTTTCAAGTCAAACAACACAAGTAATAAATACGGAAAATGCAATTTTGAGCGCTCCATGATTAGTGTCTGTATGCATTGAATAATTCAATAGTACTAAATGAAAAGCTGTTATTTTATGTAGGGAAAGATCGAAATCACCGTGTTGCATACATTGATACTCCGCATTACTGTATCACATTCACCAATAGATGTCGCCGATCAAAATACATGCAAGCATCTATTACTTTACTCATTATTCTTATACTACACTGTAGGACAACAAGCAGGCGACATTTTGTTTTTTGTCTTTGAAATATAAAAAAGAAAAAACCTTTAAAATAATTTTAGAAAAAAATTCATGGATTGTTTTTTTTTTGCGATTGTTTGAGAGAATTTTTTTTGTGTTTTGCAATTTTTTTGCTGCAGTTGAATTGGTGTAAAATTTTTTTCGTTCTAAAAAACTTCAAAAAAAATAATAAAGAAAACATTTGTTTTTATCAACTAACAATTTTGTGTAACTCATGATAAATTAAATTAAATTAAAATTATGTGAAATTCACGGCAAGAAATTAAAAATAATAGGTTGCTAAAAATGCACCACATAATCTAATGTGGTTAACAGGAGATTATAAATTGGTAAGAGGCCCCATACTAAAAAAATTTTGAAGATCTTTTTCATGTGTGATGATTGCGAAAAGAGAGAAGATAAATAATTAGCATTTGTTTGAAAAACAAAAACAAAGGTAAGCAGCTAACATAGTGAAGCAAGGATTTACTTGCAAACAAACTGTGTATCGGAAGAAATTTCTAAAAGAAGTCCATCGAAAGGAGAAATTCTGGAATCTGGTGGAGGAGAAAAGTTATAATAATTGCTTAATATTTTTTCCATTCCCTTTTTGCTTAAAAAATTTTTAATAAATTTCTATTTATCTAACATTAGTCGCGAGTGAACATTCGTCGATGGACTTACTTTCGGTACTTTTTGGATGAGTTTTATTTTATCTGTGCTAATTAAAATTTGTTGTTCATTAATAATTAAAATATTCTACAGTAAATTTTTGTTATTTCATTAAATAATTATAATGAATACAGAATCAATCAATTGTGTCAATTCTGAATGGTGAAGTGAGTCAACATTTACACATACACTTTCACGTACCCATTCAAAAATTTTATAGAAGTTCGATTGGGCAAATCTTATTGTTGACACCCTCATTTTCGGCGAGCTCGTCCAAATGTCTTTTCGAGCTCTGATATGCTACAATAGTGAAACGTTTTAAAGATTTTTATCCCCTCGCCTACTGTCCCATCTTATTTTAATGTCTTACCTCTCTGAAACGTGGAGGATTAACTTGGATCTGACGGCAAAATTCGAATAGTAAAATTTAAGCCTGTAAATGGGTTTTTTAAGAACCCGGTAGACAAGGTAATTCCTTTGCCTTTAAAGTAAAACTTTAAAAGCTTTAGTTTGTGTCGAACGAGATAAAAATTTAATTGTGACATATGGAAAAAAAGAGGTTGCAGCTAAATAAAAAGTTTCTGGATCGCAGTCTTTCCTGGAAGAAGTCGACCAAAGC